CAAAGGTGTTTGTTCAATTCGCATTACAAAAAGAGCTTTTAACTGGAGAGTAACCTTACAAGGTTTCTCACTCTGTACCCCATTCCTATCAGCTGATCCATTATCTGCAATCCGCTTACCTTAATATTATTGGAGTCCGTAAGAAACATGGTGAGCCGATCTATGCCCATGCCCCAGCCCGCAGTAGGGGGGAGACCATATTCCAGAGCAGTACAAAAGTTCTCATCAATGAACATGGCTTCATCATCACCCGCAGCTTTTGCCTAGAAAAGGAATGGACAAGGAGAGGAAAGTTTAGTACTGACCACAGTCCCGGAAATGCCAGCACTCCTATTAAATAAACAATATTCTTATTTTTTATTCCACTAAAGAATGGAAAAAACTTATTCTACTCCAACAAATCCAGATTGCTACAGTCCAATATTCTCTGTGTATTTGGAAAATTAAATCAGCCACAAATGAATAGTCAGGAGGGAAGTCTCACCTCTCTCACCCCAAAATATCATTGTCTGAAGGATTCTAAATGCCAGACCTTAGACACTCACATGACGGCTTCCAACAGTCTAGTTCTAGCCAAGGTAAGAGTTTCTGAAACCGTGGCTCTGACAGTCTGCACATGACTGCTTTCGGCATGACTGTAGAAATGCAGGGGCGGGGAGCCTCCACAGGCAGCATTCACATCAATCAACAGAAGAAAGGACTGCAACAACCATCTTTTACCTGCAATGTATTTTATTATATAAACTTGTAAACACTTCCTCTCCTAATCAGCACCATTCTAGACTGATGATCACACCACAGTGGCAGTTGCTTACATGGAAGACGTGCTGGAAGAATTCTGATAAACCAACTGTCTAATGCAATTAGTATTTGTTGGTTTTGGAAACTGCTAACCACCTCTTTTTGTTTTCCTTATTTACACCCTTTCCTGTGTTTTGCTCCAAGTTCCCCCCCCTAACCCTGCTGCATCACGTCTCCCTCCCACTGAAGTTCCTCTCATGCAAGAGGGATGCTATCCCTTTGGAGGTATGTAGTTGTGTACATGAACTGGGTAACTATACACATGACTGACCAATACAAGCTATAGTATTAAGAGTAAGTGGCATCTTTCCTTCCTGAATGCTGCTGAATGCCACAGTAAAGCCAGGAACAGCCACTGCATTTGTCCCTAGACAAGCTGTGCGCTTGCGTTTGTTCCAGAACAGAAATATCCAGGAATTGATGTGCAATACCATTTTAGCATCATTAAATCAATGGCAGAAACCCAGGTTAACTGTGCAGATGCAATTTGTAGTATCTGGGATAAACTGTTGGTATTTCTTATCCCAGGGATTTATCCCAGGGCAACAGACATGGACATCTGAATGACTCCACTTTGTCCCATGATAAAATCGTTTGTTCCAGAACTAATGTGACATCCGTTTGTAGTCCAATATACCTGGGTAGTAATTTAGTTAATGCTTACGGTCCGTATTTGTCTTTGATATTTGTACACTCCTCCTACTTGTCAGGATACCTATGGATTAGAACAGACCCTTGTGGTTCTGGCTGCAACATCTACATTAAAAACATGGTATGGCTCTCTACACGATTAGGCTGAACCCCCTTGGTAGAGATTCACCCACAGAAATCTGGTACTGCAAGTCTGCAAATCAAGTCAGTCCAAAAATATAAATCAATTCCATGTTTATGAGTCAATATTAAAACCAAAATAACTTTTCTAGACATGAGATTTTATTTAACCAAGTACCTATATTCACTGCTAAGAAACTTGAAAGTACATAGGCATTTCATGTCTATATAATTGCATTTGTACAAGCAAGTTGCTTATCTCATTTTGAGACACAAAAACAAAGGACAAGGCAATTTTTTAACTACTTTTTGAGACTGATAGTCTACAGTTTCCCCTTGTTCTGTTTATATCTTATATTGATAGTAGGAGGAAAGAGTCCAAACTAGAAAGTGATAACAATGTTTTGCTAAGATTTATGCAAAATTAATTTAAAAGAGGAAGGGAGCAAAGTTTAAATATAAGATATCAGTTAGATATATGAGCACAGTAGAAAGCCCTTGCTTTTAGAGAATTAACATCCCACATTCAACAATATGAATGAATGACAGAGCTGTAATATTTTACAAGTCTACATTAGGCTCACTTTACCAAGAGATGCATTTTCAGTAGATTTCTTACCTTGGCTTGACTTTCAAAAAGCTGCCGCTGCCAGAAGGGATCATTGAGCTCAGTGTAAGCATTGCACACTTCCTTCTTCATCACAAAGAGTTCAAAGCGTTCTGTCAAACCCTGCTGAGAGCGATGCCTGTGTAAAGGATACTAGTCAACAGCAAGCCAGAAATTAATAGCAAAACAGGGGCACAGAGTCAGAAGAGAGGTTCACATTGACACGGACAACAGCCATAAAACTACATGCCAGTCAATGCAAGTACACATTTTTTCTAGATTTTATGCCCAACGCCAATGATTACCAAACTTTTTGGACCACCAGCCAGTGCCAAACCTCACTCTCTTTGGGACTCCCATACTTCCTCATCAAGCTTCTAACTGAAAATGTACGTGCACTAGGGGGGTGGGGTGCAATTCCTGTGCTATTCAGAGTCTTGGACCAGCTTTGCCACTGCCTTAAGCAACAAGTACCATGTCTAAGGTACCATGACCTAGGCTAGAGAGAGACTTCACAAACTGCCCAGGGTCAAATAATTCCTTTTCAGAGATGATTTTTCTAATGGGGAAAAAAAGGGCTGTACTTCATGTGGTTTCACATTCTTACCATTTGGCCAGAGGGCTCATGATCTGGGGGTGATCACAGATGAAGGTTGGGTTGATACATGTGACTTCCAGAAACTCACCTACAAGCTAAGAAATGAGAGGACAGACATTAGGAGTCAAAGCTCCCCCCCCCTTTTTTTTTTTTAAACCAGTGCACTACCCCAAATCAGTATCTCCATTTCCCTTTTCAATAACAAAGGAAGTACCATAACACTGAGAAGTCGCACTATGGGAGTACATCAAGGGCTTGGTGAGCAACTGTTCACCAGGGCACCCGAGGGGAAAACTAGGAGTAGTGGCCACAAACTCCTGGAAGACCAATTTAGGCTCAACTTTCGGAAAAATTTCTTCACAGTCATGGTGTCCAGACTGTGGAATAAGCT